TTATGTAGACGCAGAGGCGGGAGAGGAGAGAGAGAGAGAGAGAGAGTGATAGCGATGGATGGAGAGAGAGAGAGAGAGAACAAACATAAGAGAACACAAGTAAAGAACTGCAGAGATAGGCAGAGGGACTTAGAGATGGCTTGGGGAGATACAGCCAGACGTCGACGGACTCGGTGGGGGTGGCGGATTCGGCTGGGATGGTGACGGGGGTCGCGGTCTCGGTATTGTATAGAACAGTGCCGAGATGAAGATGGCGTGCTGCTTGCATGCATCTCGCGTCAAGGGCTTGTCGATATCACTGCACCATCGAAGAGCTTGCGCTTATACCACAAGTCCTGGTCGCCAAATATGTTTGGACTCCACTGAAGGGTTGACAGTGCGAGTGACAAGGCTAGGATTGCGAATCGTGGTCCAGGGGTGACAGCGAGAGAATCAGTAGTGAGGGAAGGGGGACAGGAGTGCCAGCTAGTATAGAGCACAGGGGCAGTGAAACAGATCGCGGCTCGGAGCAGTAGTGTAGGTCTATTTCTATATTCCATGGGGCGTTGCAGTGGCGATTGGCATGCCCGAAGCAGAAGCATTTAAAGCGGCCCCGAGTCCGTCACGTTCACGTTCCGGATCTGGTGCGCCGCATATCTTTGCCATGCATTTCTGCATATTGCTATGCCGTTTTTTTTCCCAACCCTCCTGTGCTGGGTCCTCGTTTTGAATAGACGTGGTCTCCGTCACTCACTCCCTCCTCTCCTCCCCCCTCTCCACCTCCTGCCTCCCCTCTCCTCCTGCCTCCCGCCCTCTGTTCCCCCTGCTCCTCATGCTTCCGCCCTCTGTTCCCGCGGCAGCCCCGAGCTGGCTGCTCAAGACATGCCGGAGCTCGCTGAAGCTGTCAGGGTCGCCCTTCGCATGCCGCTGTTGGGGCCCGATGTTCGCTTTTGAGCTCAGCGGTAAGCTCTGAGGCGCATCGGCGGAGAACTTGTTGTGCCTCCAGGCCACGCTTCACCTGCTGTTTCCTGCCTTCTTCCCCCCGCCGTCTCCTCCTCCTCCTCCTCCTCCTCCTCCTCCTCCTCCTCCTCACGACTGTCGCCATTGGGAGGGCTCCTCGGAGCCTTAGCAGAGTGAGGGAGCTACGTAGACCCAGCCGAGACCTTGCGTTTCCCTGGGAGGTTGCGAAGTGCGCCACTGCTGCCACTTCGTGGGCTCTTGGGAGGTCCCGCGGAGTGGAGTAATACGCAGATCCAGCTGAGACTTTGCGGCTCCCTGGGGGGCTGCGGACTGCGCAACTGTCGACACGTTCGTGGGCTCCTGGGAGGTCCAGCGGAGTTGGCAGTCACGCGGATCCCGTCGAGACCTCGCCGCTGGGGGGACCCAGAACTGCGCAAATGTCGCCACTTTCGTGGGCTCCTGGGAGGTCCAGCGGAGTTGGCAGTCACGCAGATCCCGTCGAGACCTCGCGGCTCTCTGGGGTGCTGCGTAGTGCGCAACTGTCCCACTTTCGTGGGCTCCTGGGAGGTCCCGTAGAGTCGGTAGTCACGCAGATCCCGGCGAGACCTCGCGGCCAGCTGGGGGGCTGCGAACTGCGCAAATGTCGCCAATTTCGTGGGCTCCTGGGAGGTCCAGCGGTGTCGGTAGTTGCGCCCTTTGTTTCCACTTTCGAGCGCTTTTCGTATTGCGCCCTCTTGCTTTCACCTTTTGTTTGTTTGTTGTTGCTCTCGTTGCCGTGCTCTTCTGCTTTTACTTTTGATTGCTTCTGCGCGCTGCGGCTCCTTTAGCATGCTCGTTTTTATTGCGCGGCTGGCTGCTGCTTCGCTGCTAGGTACTACGCGCTGTTCCTCGCCATCCTCTTCCCGTACATCTTGGTGGCGGCGTACTTTGGCGTAATCGACGAGGGCACCGAGCTCGGGTACATAAAGCACAGGGCGATCACCAAGCTATTCAGTCCAGAACTCAGGGACTCCGCGCGTGTGTGGGGATGAGGAAGAGCAGGAGGAACGTCAGCACCAGCAGGAGAAGGAGGGGGAAGAGCAGGGAGGCCGAGGAGAGAGGAGGGCCGATGACCAAGCAGATCGAGGGCAGCACCAGGATCCCGACCAAGCAGGGCCAGCAGCATGTTGAAGTAACCTTCGACATGGATAAGAACGGCCTCACGACCGTGTCTGTGCAGGACGCGTCCACTGGTATGTCCAATCTCCCCGATGTGCTGGAGGAGACGGAGGAGGCCCTCGAGCTGGGCTCCCTGAAGGAGGTGCTCGCCGTGGCAAGCTGTGCAGACTGCGCACGGCTCCGAAACGCGCATGCAGGAAAAGCGGTGGGCCCGGTCGCGCTGGTGGGCCCAAGAGCGGCGCGCTGCCGTGCGAGGTCGTCGCTCGGACCTCTTCATCGACTCGCTTCGGAGAAAGAGCGAAAGCAAAGCCCCATGACAAACCTCAGACCAGGTGCAGAAGGTCTGGCCAGATTGCAGTGAACAGCATCAGCCTTCCAGCAGACTCTCGTCTCCTCCTTGACCCCCCTCTCCCCCCCTTTCCCTCTCCTTTTCTCGTTTACCCCTTCGAGCCTGGTCCAGACATTATTGGCATTGCTGATCTTTCCACGTACTTTGTCTGTGTTGGATCCTATGTACTGCGCTTCAATTCATAGTTGCAGCAATGTGGCCCCAAGCTGTATTCGGTGGTTCCGAAAGTATTTTCCCTCGTGGTTGAAGCTCCGAGTGTCTGCTCGACAACGTCGGTGTTCTTTGGTTGTCATTTTTGGTAGCTTGACGCCGGCACGCTCCATCATGTATATCTGGAGCTAAGAGTATGAGTGCTGCTCAACTCTCCCATGCTGTCAAAAGCAGTGCATCATGTGCATGTGTCGCCAAATATGGACGCTGGCGCCGTCCTCCCCCCCAAGCTCGTTTCGGTGCGAGGGGGCGCCGCCGAAGATTCCCAAAGGCGTTCTTCACCCGGCCGTCGCAAGCTGCTAGTTGCCACTCGTCAGCTCTTGCCGTGGCCTGCGCTTCCAGGTCGCCCCAATTGACTTACATGGCCTGAGTGTGGCTCCCTCGACCCTTAGTCCTCTCCGGCCTCTCCTTCTGCCTTCTCCCTCCCACTGTGCACAATTCGCTTCCGACGCGCCCCGCCAATAGCCGACCGCCTGCTGTATCGAGCTCGCCGCTGATTCAAAAACGCTTTCGGGTGAGTGTTGCAGAACGCCAGAGGCAGCCAGTGACAGGGCAAAATCAAGCTATCGACGATGCGCTTCTCTCGTGGAAGGACGTCGTCAATGTGATCTCCAATTCGATCTGCATGTACGCTTACACTTTGCAGGCAGGTATCGACTGGTTCGTCGACGAGCTGGTTGGCCACCATCTTGCGGAGGGGTGGGGCTAGGCGCGCAGGGGCAGGGTCAGCTGGCAGGAGGGGCGAGGGGATCACCGGAAGTAGACAGGAATGGCAAACGGAGGTCGAGGGCTCCAACCAAAAACCATGTCAAGACATAATGCACAAGTAGAGCACAAACACTAGGCGCAGAGGAAATGCGAGAAATGGATAGAGAGAGAGAAGGTATAATGCGTGAGTGAGTGAGTGAGTGAGTGAGAGAGAGAGGGAGAGGGAGAGAGAGAGACCTGGCCCCCAGCCCCCGTCTTTGTTGAGAGTGGGTCCTCAGGCCAGCGGTTCTCCCCGCTCGTGGAGTGTGCATTGCAGGTGTGAATGTACCTTGTTTGGAGTCTTTCTGCAGGGGACGCGGTCAGCGAGAATAGAGTTGCTGATGGTGGATGGGTTTCGTTTTGATGGTGGATGGCTTTCTTTTTGATGGCCTTTGATGATGCGATTGCTTGCCTGGGCTCTTTTCGTTGTCCTTTGATCTCGTCGTTGTTCGCCAAATGCGATGCACTTGATCTCTACTGGCGAGGTGGAGAAGAGAGCATTGCGAAGGAGGAGGAAGAGGACGGTGAGGACGGTGACGACGACGTGGACGAGGATGATGACCTAGAGGGAGAAGGATGCTGATGAGAAGGAGTTGGAGGAGGCGGGGTTGGACCAGAATTATGCCGAAGAGGATGAGGAGGATGTGCATAGTGAGTACTGGGCCGATGGCGAGCTCGCCGATGAGGATGATGTGCATAGTGAGCACGGGGTCAAGGTCGATAGCGAGGATGATGACGAAGATGGCTGGGGCGAGGATGAGGAGTCTGATGATGATGATGATGATGATGATGAGGAGGAGGGGAGGAGGAGGAGGAGGAGGAGGAGGAGGAGGAGGAGGAGGATGAGGAGGAGGAGGAGGAGGAGGAAAAGGAGGAGGAGGGAGGAGGAGGAAAAGGAGGAGGAGGAGGCGGAGGAGGAGGAGGATAAGGGTGGCGATGAGAGGGGTGAGAGGCGGGGGGTGGGGAATCGGAGGTTTAGGAGGCAGGAGGAGAAGGGGCGGCCGCAGCAGCCGCAGCGGTGGGCGCGACAGGCGCACGCACCCCTCTGCCTCGCCGCCAGCCAGAGCCCCGAGGAGGCGACTGTGCTGCAGAAGATGCTCGACACATCCCTGGATCAGGAGCAGATCGACGAGGAGCCCCCTGCTGGTGCTGCTCACGACCGTGGGCTCTCCTCCTCCTCCTCCTCCTCCTCCTTTTCATCTTCCTCTTCCTCCTCCCTGGGACTGAGGGGGGGGCGGAGTAGCGATTTTGGCGGCTCCTGGTCAGGATGCGATTCGTCGCCGTGGTTTTGCGAGTGCAAGACTGGGGTCAGGACATGGCTCGTCAGTGCCCCTCTGCAGCCACGAGGAAGTTGCCCGTGCAGCCGCCGACAGAGTATCCGGGGCTGCCGCCACCGGCTTGGTCTGCGTCTCCCAAGTTGAATGGTCGCCAGAGGGAGTGCCCACGGACAAGGACGAGCACCCTGTTCGGCTCGCGATGCAGGAGAGGCGCCGTTTGGAGCGAGCCCTGCGAGGTCATAAGGCTACCCGGTTACCTTATCCGCTTGTGTTTGACGACGCGGACGGCACGCCGACGCTGGTGCGTGCCCTACGTCTTCGGCTATCTGTCCCACACGTCGCTGCAGATCCTCTTTCCAGAAGCCGCCACGGAGGCAGGTCACACCGACCTCCGAGCGCAGATGGATATTGCCAGAGGTCTCTGCGCAGCCATGCACGCCGACGATGCTTCGAACGGCTGTTCTGGCTGAGCCGTTCGTCATGGGACGGCTACGGGGAGGAGATCCACAGGCACGTGGACGCACAGCCGCGAGGCATGGCAGCAAATGGATGCCCGACGACCCCAAGTCCGCAACCCAGGGCCCGATCATGTAATGGATGTGGTCGATCTCCCTCTCTTTGGCGAGGAACAGGGATTGTTGTGAGAGCGAGGCCGGGACCATTCTAGGGTCCCATCCCTTTAGCAGCTCCGTCAAGCTAAGGAGGGGTGTGATGATGATGACGACGATGGTGATGATGCTGCTGCTGATGATGACGATGATCATGGTGGTGGTGGTGATGCTGATGATGATGACGATGGCGATGACGACAATGATGATGCAGATGATGATGCGACTGCTGCTGCTGATGATGACGATATGTTCGAAGAAAAAATGATGATGCTGATGATGAGGACTATGATGCTGATGATGATGAGGATGATGATGTTGACTATGATGATGATGATGATGATGATGATGATGATGATGACGATGATGATGATGACGATGGTGATGGTGATGATGATGCTGATGATGAGTATGCTGATGATAATGATGCTGCTGCTTATGATGATGATGAGGGCAACGATGATGATATTGATGATGATGAGGATGAGGATGATGATGATGAGCATGATGAGGGTGATGATGACGATGATGATGATGATGATGTTGTTGATGATGCTGATGGTGACGGTGACGATGATGATGATGGTTGTGGTGGTGGTGGCGTTGATGCTGATGATGCTGCTGATGATGATGCTGCTGCTGAGGATGATGCTGACACTGATGATGAGGATGCCGATGCTGATGATCATGCTACTGCTGATGACAATGACAATGACGATGACGATGACGATGATTATGATGCTGATGCTGCTGATGCTGAGGCTGATACTGATAATGATGATGCTTATGATGACGATGGTGACAACGATGATCATGCTGATGATTCTGATGACGATGCTGATGACGATGACGATGAAGTCGACGATGATGCTGGTGATGATGCTGATATTGATGATGATGCTGATGTTGATGATGATGACGCTGAGTATGAGCATGGTGGTGATACTGATGCTGATGCTGATGGTGATGATGCTGATGATGGCGATGCTTCACCTGCAGATGGTGATGCTGATGCTTATGATCATGGTTACCATGACAGTGACGAAGCTGATGATGCTGATGATGACGATGATCATCATGAGGACGACGATGATGATAACGAGGCTGATGATGCTGCTGACGACGATGATGATGACGACGATGGTATGATGGTGCTTATGATGCACATGCTGCTGCAGATGCTGATGACGATGCTGCTACTCATGATGATGATGCTGATGCTGCTGATGTTGATGCCGACGGTCATGATGAAGCTGATGACGATGACGATGCTGCTGCTGATGAAGATGCTGATGCTGATGATGGTGCTGATGATGCTGCTCCTGCTGATACTGACGACGATGATGACGAAGACTGTGGTACTGATGATGCTGACGATGATGCTGCTGGTCATGATGCTGATGCTGATGATGCTGATGATGCTGATGATGCTGTTGTTGATGATGATGGCGATGCTGATGCTGATGATGATGACGATGCATATGATGATGATTTTGATGATGATGATGATGACGATGACGACGATGATGATGATGATGATGATGATGATGATGATGAGGACGCTGCTGCTGCTGATGATGATGCTGGTGGTAAGATGACGATTATGTTATATAAGGAGGAGGAGGAGGAGGAGCAGGATGAGGAAGACTGCGGAGGAGAAGGAGGCGGAGGAGGAGCAGGAACACGATGATGATGATGATGGCGACGAGGATGATGATGATGATGATGATGGTGATGAGGATGCTGATGCTGATGATACTGATGATGATGATGATGCTGATGATGATGATGATGATGATGATGGTGATGGTGATGGTGATGGTGATGGTGATGGTGATGGTGGTGATGATGATGGTGATAATGGGATGATGGTGGTGATTATGATGATGTTGGAGCTACTGATGATGTTGATTATAATGCTGATGCTGACGCTGATTCGGATGCTGATGATGATGAGGATGCGGATGAGGATGCGTATGATGATTATGATGATGATGATGATGATGATGATGATGATGATGATGATGATGATGATGATGATGATTCTGATGATGGTGATGCTGCTGCTGGTGATGATGATGCTGATGATGATGATGATGATGATCGTGATGATTATCATGCTGCTGATGATGATGATGATGATGATTTTGATGATGATGATGCGGAGGAGGAGGAGGAGGGAGAAGGAGGAGGAGGAGAAAGAGGGAGGAGGAAGAGGAGGAAGATGAGGAAGAGGAGGAGGATGGACAATGGGCAGGTCGTGGACGGCGAAGGAGAAGGGGATGAAGAAGGAGGAGGAGGAGGCGGAGCAGGATGATGGTGATGATGATCATGATGATGATGATGATGATGATGATGATGATGATGATGATGATGATGATGATGATGATGATGATGATGAGGAGGAGGAGGAGGAGGAGGAGGAGGAGGAGGAGGAGCAGGAAGACGATGATGAGGATGGACAGGGTGCAGGTCGTGGAAGGCGAAGGAGATGGGGATGGAGAAGGAGGAGGAGGATGGTGATGAGGATGATGATGATGATGATGAGGAGGAGGAGAAGGAGGAGGCGGAGGAGAAGTGTGTCCTGAGGCAAGGGGTCTTCCCGCCTCAGCAGCTCAAGTCTTGCTTGGCACCATGTGTCGTCTATGGGTGTGATAACCTTGCGCTCATGGTGCCTCTGGTCACGTTCGTCCTGCGGAACCTCGGCGGCAACGCCTTTGGCGTCCTTCCATCATCCTCGGACTGATCTTGCGATCCCTCCTCCTCTTCCGTCTCCTCCTCCTCCTCCTCCTCCTCCTCCTCCTCCTCCTCCTCCTCCTCCTCCCCTCCCGTTTTTGTCCCCTCGAGTTTCCCACCTGGCGATCAGGGCACCTACGTCTGCGGGGGCCTGAGCGACCCGTTTCCCACGAGGCCCAGGGGGGATCGAGCTAGAGGTGAGAGGATGTTTGAAGGGTTACTGAAGTGGAATGCAGTGGGGCCAGGGAGAGTGTGGCTGGCGAGCGGGAGTAATGCCGGAGGTCAAGGGTTAGAGGAGGCGAGCTGAGGAGGTTGAGGAGAAGTTTCAGGATGGTGAGAGGCTGCTGCTTCTGCTGGGGGAGAGTGCAATGAAGCTAAGTTGGTAAGCAGGGTGAGCGACATGAGCATGTGTGCAATGTACACCTGGGGATGGATTGAGTATGGCGGTAATGATTAGGATGAGAACGAGGGCGAGGATGAGAACGCGGACGAGCGGGGATAATAGACGCGCTGGGGGGTAGCATTATGTAATGGCCTCTGGCCCATCCCGCCACCGTGCCTGGGTTGGGGGTCAGAGTTCTCAGGGATGCTTTTTCGGGTCTCTTCGGAGCGCTCTCGCCTCTTAGGGCCTCTTGGGGGCCTCTTCGGGCCTCCTGCGGACCCCTCGGAGCCGAGGGCTCGAAATGTCCGTTCGAGTTTCCCATCTGGGGGGCTGTCTTTGGGCCCTCTTGGGCCGTCTTGGGCGTCTCTTGGGCCGTCTTGGGCGTCTCTTGGGCCGTCTTGGGGCCCTCTTAGGAGCCTCTGGGGCCGTCTTGGGGCGATCTTGGGGGCCTCGTGGGCCGTCTTGGAGTGTCGGAGGTGAAAACGCCAACATCTTTCAGTGGTTTTTGCCTCTTCGGGCCCTCTTGGGAGGCCTCTTGGAGGCTTCTGGGGGTGTCTTGGAGGCCTCTTGGACCGTCTTGGGGCCGTCTTGGATCTTGGAGCGATCTTCCGGCGACTCGGAGCACTCTTGGACCATCTTGGGGGTCTTTTGGGGCTTTCTTGGCCCGTCTTGAAGCCTTCCTGGGCCCCAGGAAGTCATGCGTCACGCCGCGGGGAACTGCGACAAGGCCCAGGGGGCACGCGGGAAGCCCCGAGAGATTTGGCAATCTGGGGCCAGGGTCCAGGCCACTTAAAGACTCCTCAGGAGAGCTTGAAGGATTCGGCAAAGGACCTGAGGACACGCCCACTCCGTGCCCAGCGTCACGGCGGCGGATAGTATGAAGAAGAGAACTCATAACCCCGATCTGATATGGATGATGATGCAGGGGAGAGGGGGAGGAAGAGGAGAAGGATGAGGAGGCCGAGGAGGATGAGGATGAGGGTGAGGAGGAGGAGGAGGAGGATCAGGAGGACGCACATGAATCCACACATACATACATACAGGCATGCATACATACATACATCCAGACACACACACATCCGCATACAGACACGCATCCACACATTTACATTTCTACACATCTACACGTACATAGCCATATCTGTAGACATACACACGTATACATACACACATGCATACATACATACATACATACATCCATACATACATACATACATACATACATACATACATTCAACATACATACATACATACATACATACATACATGCATACATACACACATACATACACACACATATACATACATACATACATACATACATACATACATACATACATACATACACACATACATGCACACATACATACATCTACATGCACACATACACATACATATCCATATACGCATGTATACACATATACATATACATATGCACAGGCATCTACATATACATATACATGTTAATAGCATGCGCATTTTTATACACAGGTAAACATACACACACTTATACACATACACATACATACACACATCCATATACATACATTTATGTGTACATACACATACATATACATTTACATGTATATACACATACATTCACATTCACACACATACGCATACATATATCTGTATATATAAATACATATGCACATGTCCGTATCCATATGTGTACATTTACATACAGGTATACAGCTACACATATATATGTGTATATGTATACACGTGCATGTGCATGTGCATGTGCACATTCACATGCACATCCATACATCCATTCATCCATACATCCATACATCCAGACATTCATTCATCCATCGATCCATACATATACACATACACATACACATACACATACACATACACATACACATTTACATACACATACGCATACGCATACGCATGCACAGACGCATCCACATTCACATACACATACACGTACATACATACACATAATCATACGCATACACATACACTTGCACATACCCATACTCACACACATGAGCACACATACATACATGCATCCATACATACTTTTCATGTTGGCGGCTAGGCAGAGTGACTGCGCTGGCGGATAGGGCACATGTAGGACATACAATTGTTGATTTAGTCGCGATGCACGTGAGGAAGAGGAGGAAGGCCCGGCGCGGGCGTGAGGGAGACGGAAGCCGGGCCCGCTCAAAGCGGGGCCAGGCCGCGGCAGGGGCGGCGCCAGGGCGGCGGGGCGGCAGCCGCGGGGCAGCAGGGGGCGGGCAGCAGCCAGGGGCGGCCGCGCGAGGCGGGGGGGACAAGGCCCAGACAGTGCATGGGACGGGCAGCACAGAATGGCGGCCGTGCGCCGAGACCGAGCCGACCTACCAGGCAACAGAGCAGCCAGAGGAGACCACCTCAGGGGAGGGGCTGAGGCGTAGCTGGAAGGGCCCAGCAGGTGGAGCGAGAAGAAGCGCCGAGATCCATGAGCCTGCGGGGCGCCAGATGGCGGGCGGCCCGGGTACCCTGTGGTTAGGGACCGCGGGGGGGCGGAGCAGCGGGCGAGCAGGCCCACCGGCAAAGCCGGCACGAGGACCGCAAGCCGGCTTGAAAACCAGGCACGGGAGGGGGCCGGCCCGAGGGGCGGCCAAGGCCAGCCAGCCCCCGGAACCAAGGAGGGACAGACAGGGTGGAGGCCGCAGGCAAGGCCTGCCCAAAACCTTGCAGAAGGCCAGCGACCCGTCCTGCAGGGGCAGGGGATGCAACGGCGGGGCAGGGGCCTCAACCCGGACAGAGGCCGGGGCGGCAGTCTCGAGTACACGCGGGGAGGCGGCGCGCGGGTGCCAACGGCGTGCGGCAAGACCAGCACGCCGGAAGGCAAACGCAGCGGACGCCGCTGGAAGGGACAGGCGCGAGCAGCGCAGCGCGCCGCGCCCGTGGGCACCGGAGGGCCGGTGGCCCCGAGGCGGGGGCGGCAGGGGGACCGACCACGAAGAAAGCAGGAACGCCTCCCGAGAGGTTGGCCGGCTGCGCGGGGGTAGCACGGACGGGTGCAGTGAGAGGCGAGGAGTAGGCACCGAACAGGTGCAACAGCACTGGGTGTGGAGCAGACGACCACAGAGAGGGGGGCAGCCACGCGAGGCGGTGGGGCGGAGGAAGGCGTGAATGCGCAGGCAGCGGCCAGTGGCGACGGCGGCCAAGCGCGAGGGTAAAAAGCAGGGCGAAAGACTGGCGGGCCCCAGACGGCCCAACTGGGTGGGGGGTAGCGCCGAGCAGGTGCACGGGCGCAACAGAGAACAGGCGAACCCCTGGCGGGGCGGCCGCCCGGATGGGAGGCAGCGGTATTCAGAACGGTATCCTGAGTGGCGGTGGAAGCTGCCGTTTCGTCGGGGTCGGCGGGGGCATCGTCAGCGTCGAGTCGGCGTCGGCGTCGGCGTCGGCGTCGGCGTCGGCGCCGGCGGTATCGTCAGCGTTGGCGTCGGCGTTGGCATCGGCGTCGGTGTCGGTCAAAAGCGCTGACCCCAGCGTTGTAGATGATGACGTCGGGCTCCAGCGTAGTCTCTCGAATCTCGCTGAGCAGCGCCAGAGTCCGCTGCCACTGATCGTGCTTTTCGCACGCGCTGATCCCAGCGTTGTGCTGCTGACGTTGGGCTTCAGCTTCGCTTCGCACGTCTTGTTGAGTAGAGCCAGAGCCCGCTACTGCTCGCAGTCCTCGCGCGCACTGATCCCAGAGTTGTAGCTGATGGCGTCGGGCTCCAGCTTCGCCTCCCGCATCTCCCTGAGCAGCGCCAGAGCCCGCTGCCACTGTTCGCCCGTCTCGCAAACACTGATCCCGGCGCTGTAGCTGAATACCTTAGGTCCAGCTTCGCCTCCCGTATCTCCCTGGGTAATGCCAGAATCCGCTGCCGCTGCTCGGCCTTCTCGCACGCGCATGCATACATACACACATACAGGCATACGTACATACACACATGCATTCATACATGCAAGCATGCATACACATACCTACCTGCTTACCTACCTACCTACGTACCCACCTGACCACCTTACACACATACATACGACCATGCAGGCATACATGCATGCATACATACATACACACATCCATCCATCCATACATACATACATACATACATACGTACGTACGTACGTACTTACATACATACATACATACACACATACATACATACACACATACATACATACATACATCCATACATGCATCCAGACACACATACACACATACACATTCCCACATCCATACACACATGCATCCATATATGCTTCCAATTACCCTACTTCGATGTTTCCGCAATTCCGTACATGATACACACATACATACACGCACACATACTCATACATACGCATACATTGACATACACATACATACACACATTCATGTGCAACCACGGGCATTCACATACACATACACACATACCCATGCACGCATGTACATATATTTCATACACTCATGCATACACACCTACACATGCACACTCATACACATACATCCACCCATACATACATACATACATACATACATGCATGCATGCATGCATGTATCCATCCATCCATACATATATACACATATACATACATACATACCTACATACATACATACAACCATACACACATACAGCCATGATGTATACATGTATGCATGCATGCATACAGACATCCAAACATACATTCATGCATCAACACATACATGTTCCTGTCGGCGGTGAGACAGCGGTATACTGCTCCAGCGATATGCATTGGGGGCAACCGAGAGGCGAAATTGCCAGCATGCAAATGGAAGGAGCAAGAAGGACAAAGCGGCCGC